CTTTTTAAAAATTTAGTGGAATAAATGTTTTTCTGTTTTTATAAATAATGTCTGACTTAATAGAATTTTTGCTAGATTTTGGTGTGCTACTGCATTTCATCTGTTAGCGAGGTGTTACTTTGATATATGAAGAAAACCTTGCTTCACAGAGAGAGTATTGGAAAAGTGAGGACTATTATGGTAGTCTTTTCATATGACTTTGGAATATTATTCTTTGATACTATATTAAAACTATTGTACTATTTTTTGGACTGAAGCAATTTATTAAAACTCAATTTAAATACAGGGATGATGCAACTGAAAATATCCAGGTGATCTTTCAAAAACCTAAGCAGCTCAGCTAGATCAATATTTCTTTCATACTTGTTGGGAAATAAACCTTTAAACACTTGGCACACAGTATAAGTTAATCTATAAAACAGAATTTTAAAGGCATTAAAAAATCTGTACATAAAACCCATGACCTTAACACATGATAAATACTATTGATGTGGAAGGATCATAGAAGAATAAATAAATACTATGAATTGTTAATACACCATTGCAGGGTAAAAAGTAGCAAGGTGCACATAAATATTTTTAAGTGCAATTCTTTGAGCCACAGTTAGTTTTTTAAGTATTATTCTCATCGAAATAAAAAAAAAAAAAACAAGTCTTTCATAGAACATGTCTCACTCTGCTTTTCCCCCAACTTAAATAAGTCTACATTTCAAGTTTTTCTCCTGGCTCAAAATCAAAATTTATTTTCAAGTGCCCTTTCTCATTTATCTGAATGAATATTTCATCCCACATGCCTCCCAACCCAGGACTCCTCCTCTTTCCTCAACACTAGCCAAATTCACAATTAGTAGGAATAGTATTTTACCATTCAATACTCTCCATGCATAACAACCAAGAAATTTGGTATTTCTCAACTTATTTTTCTTCTTTAAGGAAAATGCAACTCCCTTATGGTCTATGCTGCCATCAAAATTGCCACTTTTTTGAGGAAAAAAAAAAAAAAGAGACATCCATACTCCATCTCCTCTCCCCACCCCAAAGACCAGATGTCAAGGGTAAGAATGCCATTTGTCTCTGATACTTGTCGGTTCTCAGTTGAGACATGATCTTAGTATGTAGTACAGGCTACCTTTAGTCTCATGGTCCTCCAGACTCACTGTGCCTAGCTCATAAGTAATTTTGGTTTATGTGTTTTATAGAGAGGGCCATTTAAAATAACCTAACTGCAACACCCTGATTGAACTCAAGAAAATTTAACAATCATTCTGTAATGTACTTTATTACCCATGTAATGTTTAGTTTTTCCTGTGTCCAAAATGTCATTTTAAACATAATTTACTTGACTCAGCATCCAAATACAATTCTCACATTACATTAAGATATTTTGGTTAAAGCTTTTGTGTTTTATAGCAATAAAAATCTCTCCCTCTTAAAAATGTTTTATTTGCTCTAAAAGTGAGGTCATCTGTCTTGCCCCACATTTTTGGGTACTTGTTTATCCAAATAGCTTGTTATTTAACAAGTATTTCCTCAGAATTCTTTTTAAATTGGGAGTCAGACCTAGAGGTGTGATTAAATGCAGTTCTTTTTTGGCTAGAATGTGTCAGGGATATTACTGTTTTATCACATCAAGAATATAATGCCTAGAGTTCAAATTTTAGCTATAATACTGAAGAAGTAGCTCCAGTCAATGCCAGATTTACCATTTGTAAATATCCTGTCACTTCTTCACTTAATAATTTTAGGAGCCATTAATCATCAGTGCCTTCATATTTCATAAGATATTTAGATTTTGTTGTTTTGTATGAGAGGACTTGTTTATGTAGCCAGGCTGGCCTGGAACTCGAATCCTCTGACCCCAGTCTCCTTAGTATAAGGTGCTTGAATTACAGGCATGTGTCACCATGCTTGGTATTAAATATTGGAATATTTCGATTTTTGTATTCTTTCACCCTCTGTTTACTGTGGTTCTTCTTGTCTTGATTAGTTGATTATTATAAAATGTAGCTCATTTTAAAAAGACAGACTGCATGAATGTTTTCCCTTAAGAATCATTAGAATAACAAGTTGGTGTCATAACAACCTCCAAAGGCAAGAACAGGGTGGTAGTGGTGATTTTTATAGCCATTATGGATTTTCATATACCTTACTTGTATTACGTTAATTCTTTTTGATCTTCACATTATCCTGTCTTTGGTCATCAAGAGCCCTCACTTCCTCTTCCAGGGCTCCAGTGCTCTCATAACAAGACCAGACAGCTTCTGTATTTTCCTTGCTTTCACTGTATGAGGACCTGTAAGAAGATGTCTATTCTTAAATAGAAAATGTTGTAGAGAATAATCAACCAGTACTCCTAAAAAGTATAGATGAAAGATAAGCAATGAGGAACTCTCAGTTTGGAGAGGACTAAGCAGAAATGACAACTAATGCAATAGGAGATCCTAGATTGAATCCTGGAATAACAAAGGACATTTGTGGGAAACCTGATGAATCCCCTAATGTCTGTGTTTAGTTTTTAAAAATCATATTTCCAATTTTAAAAAGAGATTGTGTGGATTTCATTTAACTTACAAATTTTTATACTTATATCTATATTACATGTAGAAAATCTGTGTACATAATATTAGTATAACTTGTACTTTGTCTTAAATAGTGTGCATGTGTATATGTATATATATGTATGTATATGTGTCTATAATAAAATAAAATAATTTCAAAATAACCATGCCAATATTTACCTCAAAAAACAAGTCTGATTAGTGCAGTTTAAGGTTTGGTGAATTTTGTGTGCAAATACCATCTTTTAAAATCACAGTCTCTGAATAGTTATGCTACCTGATACATAGTTGTTTGAGCTTGTTTTATGAAAGACCATAGTATTAATTATGAAACATTTCTCATATATATGAAAATAATTTTTTTTGTTGTTGGCAAGGCCTCATGCTTGCTAGGCAGACGCTCTTAACACTGCAGCCACTCTACCAGCCCTGAAAAGAATTCCTTGGAAACTGATCTAAGGTCTAGTACACACTCTCCCAAGTGTTGAACAAGATGGCTAAAACTTCCTTTTTTCACTGTAACTTTGACAATGGGATTAAACATGCACTGCTAGCATAGAGGCTGCATTTACTGCTCTTTGCTTTATCTATAAAGAGATTAAATCAAATCAGGAAAATAACCCCTTTCCTACAATTCAGTAAGGCTTTGTGAAAGATATGAGATATGGGGGTGTGGGAAGAGGGTTACCTCAAACTGTGAGGCCTTATTCCAGGAAATATGTTGCTTTGGCTATGGGGTTTTCCTCCTTGAATATTTCTCTACAATCTAGAGACTTTTTTGGCCTTGACCAGAGCAATGGTTTATATAGTATAAATCTCAAAATAATGGAAAATGTGATTTTGTTATTTATTGAAACTTGTTAGTACTTGAATCTACATACTTTAAAATCCCACTCTATATTCAAACATTAGGTAATAAAGTCTTGTTTTGATGCTTTGTGTTTTTTTTTAATTTAGTATTTAAATTGGGTAATGTCAGTAGCTCTTCTGTGGAAAACTTCTGAGATGCAGGACTTTTTGGAAAAGCTATATCAATTCAGTTAATTAAGAGATATATTACTGTAAAGATTATTTTCTCTTTTGAAAGGATTTAGAATGGTCAAATGAGCATTGCTGTGCTAAGATTATGCCAAGATTACTTTTTAAACCTTTCATTACAGAAAATTTCAGATGTACAGAAGTAGGTCAAGTATTTAATGAACACACTCCGTATCCCCTTTCAGGATTAACACTTTTGAATTTCCCTGTCTCTGCTCCAGATACTGTTTTGAGAAAATTCCATATATCACATTGTTTCCCCTATGAGTATTTTAACGTATATATTTAAGAGATTTACCTTTTTAAGTTAACCATAACCACATCATTATCACATCAGAGAAAGTACAGCAACTTTTTAGTATTCTTAAATATCCAGATAGCGTTAATTTCTGTGATTTTTTAAAAAAAAGAATATAGTTGGTTTGATTCATATATTCAAATAAAGCTATAGTTTCACTTACCAGTTTGTATCTTTAGTCTCCTTTTGTGTTGAAGCCAGGTTTCTTGTTTAGTAATTTCCCACAGCATATAACCCCTTAATGTTCCTCTGTCCCTTTTATTTGCTGTAAATTTGTAAAAAGATTTAGGGGCCTCCAGCTGGGAGTATAGAGTGCTTGCCTAACATGCACAAGTCTTGGAGTTCCATCCCCAGCATTGCAAAAAATAACAAAAAAATAGGAAGCATGAATCACATCTCTCTCTCTCTCTCTCTCTCTCTGTCTCTCTCTTACTCGGTATGGTGGTGTTAGTATTTCTATCAGGAGGTACATAATTTCTAATTGTCTAAAAAATACAGGTAGGGTGCCTAGTAAAGGACTCTTCCAGTCAGTTTCTCACTCCTTTTGGGTGCCATCTTATTTTCAACCAAAGTTAGGTCCTTAAGAACAAATGTCAGGTTTTTCATTATCTTAAAAATCTAGAAGTTAATATTGGTAAAAGCATTTCTAACTTGTTAATTTGGGTGCTAATCTGCACTTTATTTTCTGAGTGTGATGGTTTTCTGAGAATTGACACTTAGTGACACGTCAGTCTCTTACATAACTAAGTCCATCTGATCCAAAGCTGTGCTCCCTGCATGCTGCTTCACCGTTTCTTGAGGCAGGCACAGGGAAAGGCTTTGTAGTAGTTCTTTGCTTAGATGTTTCAGAGTGTCTTTGTAGCTTTTAAAAATTACGCATATCTAATCTCAAAACTACAAAATCAGTTTCTTCCAGTGATTCTTCAGCGTATTTGAGAACTAAGATCAGTGACTGGAATATCAGAACCAGATGTACTTAAATCTGTTTTCTGAAGGTCAGTCATATTCTTCTTAAAAGGATTTTGCTGTGTCCCAGTAGCATTTATACCAATACTTAATTTTCTTTAAATGGAATCACTTTTTTCTTAGCTTAACAAGAAGACATTGATACCACACGCATACAAAGAAAAGATACATACTGAAAAAACAAACTACATAACTATTGAAATTTAGCGTATTTGAACTGATGGAGTGGCTCAAGTGGTAGAGTGCTTGCCTTCCAAATGTGAGACCCTGAGTTCAAAGCCCAGTACCGTCTTAAAAAAAAAGAAATTTAGCATATTTATCATTCATTTCACATTTTAGAAAATAGTGATCTCTCTGATACTTAATTTATTTCATGCATTTCTTCTCTGTAGTTTGCATTTTCAAATCACTTGTATAGTGTTTAATGGTTTTGTGCTTTTGTGATTGAAGGTACAGATGTGACAATTGTTTTTTTTGTTCGTTTTTGTTTTGTGGTATTAGAGTTTGAACTCAGGGCCTCTCACTTGCTAGTCAGGCATTTTACCACGTGAGCCACACCCCCAGCCAGATTTTTCACAGTTGGATGAGATTTGTCTTTCAGATAGTTTAAAAAACAAGGGTTTTGATAACTAATCATAAGCAGGATACTGAGAATAAGGAGTGGCATTATAGAAATGAAAAATATCTGTGGTTAAATTTCTTTTTCTGGCCCTTTGATATTTGTGTTTTCACAGGTCTCTGAAAAGGTATCTGGTTTGTGAAGTTAGCATAGCTTGCAATGAAAAGAAGAAATACCTTAAGGTCAGAACTGGATATGTAGGAATCCTGATAGAAAATGATAAAAGCCATCCCTTCCTCATGAGCCATTTGGATAAATTAAATGAGGTGTTATATGTGAAGTTCAATATATAACCACTGAATTGAGAGAATGCCTTCCAAAAGACTAGAATGTTTGTACCTCTGTACTCAGATTGTTTTTTGTTTCTTTCTAGTGAAGCGATTCTTCTTGAATTATTGTATTTTGTTCTGACAACTTTTGTCCTTGAAAAAAAAAATTAATGGTACCAGTCAAAAACTATGTGTATATGAATTTGGGATTCATCAAAAACTATCTTTTTATTTCTTGAATTTATTGATTCTGTAATTTTCTGGAGGTTTTTTTTTTTGGTATGTAATTTAAGGTGTATAGCATTTTTTATATGCATAGTGAAGTGGTCACTATAGTCAAGCCAATATATTCATCATCTCATATTGTTACCCATTTTTATGTGTACCAAAGCACCTAAAATCCACTTTATTTATTTTTTTTTTGTGATACTGGGGCTTGAACTCAGGGCCTTCACCTTGAGTCACTCCACCAGCCCTTTTTGTGATGGATATTTTTGAGATTATGGTCTCGCAAACTATTTGCCCAGGCTAGCTTCAAACTGCTGTCTTCCTGATCTCTGTCTCCTGAGTAGCTAGGACTGCAGGCGTGAGCAACCGGCGCCCAGCTCTACTTCTTTTAAAAAATTTTTTGTTTATTATATATTAATATGAAGGGATTTCATTGTGATAATTCCATACATGCGTGCAGTGTACCTTTAACAAGTTCATCTCCATTATATTCCCATTCCTAGTCTCCCTCTTCCCCCATTTTTCTTTTTTTTTTCCCACCCACTCCCCTTCCCTCCTTTTCCAAACTGTTTGGTGGGTTTCATTAACAACATTATCGTTTTAGGTCTACATTCTATAAATGAGCAAGAACATGCTTATTGGCCTTTTGACCTTGACTTATCTCATTCAGCATAATAATCTCCAGTTCCATCCATTTGCCTGTGGCTGAGTAATAGTCCCTGGGTGTGTGTGTGTGTGTGTGTGTGTGTTGTTTGTTTGTGTTTATTTTCTCCATTCACCAATTGTTGGGCACTTTGGCAGATTCCACAGTTTGGCTGTTGTAGAGAGAGCTGCAACAAACGTGGATAGGCAGGTATCTCTCTTGTTATATTGAGTTGCATTCCTTCAGATATATGCCTAAGAGTGGTATGGCAGGGTCCTAATGTAGATCTGTTTTTAGTTTTTTGAGGAACCTGTATAGTGTAAAATCTACTTTCTTAGCAAATTTCCAGTGTATGATACAATATTATTGTAATATTATATAACATATAATATTATACCTGTAGTCCTCATGTTGTATGTTAGATCACTAGGCTTAGTCCTACATGGGGGCACTTTTGTGACCTTTGACCTATATCTCCCCATCAACCCCCCCATTCCATGGTAACATCCACCATTCTGTTTCTATGTGTTTTTAAAAATTAGATTGCACATATAAGTGAGGTCATGCAGTACTTTATCTTTCATGGATTATTTGATCCATCTTGTTAACTTCAGGTTCATCATGTTGAACATATAGCAAGGCTGAATAGTATTTCTTTCTCTCTCTCTCTCTCTCTCTCTCTCTCAGTGTGTGTGTGTGTGTGTGTGTGTGTACACCCCACAGTTTCTTTATCTGGTCATTATTGATGAATACTTGAGTTGTTTCCATACCTTGATGTTTCAAATAATACTGCAGTGAACTGGGATATCTTTATAAGGTGTTCATTTCATTTTCTTTGGATATTTATCAAGAAATGGAATTGCTGGGTCACATACTATAGTAGTTCTATTTTAAATTTTTTGAAGCCTTTTCCTGCTGTTTCCCATAACATTTGTACCCATTACATTCCTGCCAGCGTTGTACAGGATTCCCTGCTCTCCATACCCACACCAACACTTGTTAACTCTTGTGTTTTTGATAATACCCATCCCAATAAGTATGAAGTGGTGTCTTATTATGGCTCTGATTTGCCTTTTCCTAAAAAGTAGTGATGTTGAGTCTTTTATTACATATTGGTTGGTCATTTTCATGTCTTTTTTGGGAAAATGTCTATTCAGGTTCTTTGGACATTTTAAAGTTAGGTTATTTGGGTTTTTGTTATTAACATTATACAAATTGCTTATATCTTAAAAATGCGAATTTTGGGAATGAGTAGCTTTTTTCTATGTTAGCACATTGTTCTACATTTTTCAATATTATCAGTCTCACCAAATTGGTCCAAAAGAAGAAACTTAACTAAAGAAATGAGTATTACTTTTTGGTGAGTAAGGAATGTTTTATGGACAGAATTCTTTAAAATATCAAGAACACAAAAGGATAAACAAGTGGGAAAATTGAGGATTTTAAGACTTAGCAGTTTCATCTCAAGAGTAAATATATAATATGTCTCTCAAATGACTTTTTACTATCTTTTTCATTTTATAGCATCCTGAGGTTAGCATTAAACTTCTCCCAGTGGAGCCCATGACTTCTGATCAGGACGCTAAAGTTGTGGCTGAACCGCAGGCGCAGCGAGTCCAGGAGGGCAAGGACAGCTCTCATCTGGTAGGTGGACAGGGCAAGGGGCATCCATTTCTCTTTCCGATAAAGAACTCTACATTGGACTTAAGAATGCATTCAGACAGTAACAGTGAAAGTATCTTAGGATCTACGTACAAATAGTGCATTCTTGTAGCAAACAAGGACTTCTCACTCATTGGAGGTTCCTGGCTGAGATCCCTATAGCAAAAGACAGATGAATATGAGAAAAGCATACACATTTGTTTAGTAAGAAATTTTGTATGGCACAGCAGCCTTTATAGGGGAACTAGTAGTTATGCAGTAATGCAGAGGGGAGATTGGGAGAAGCATGGTTAAGACAAAATGAAGTGCGCTCAAACTGCAGTGAACCAGGGAGAACTGAGCAAGGCCTGTTTGTTTACACTTTTCCTGGCATCCACATGTGACATTCCCTGGGGTAGAGAAGGACTCCTCTGACATAAGGGTCTTGATCTGTTTTCAGGTAAAATTCAACTAGATTTTATGTTGGAGTGCTGTGTACTGAACTTTGTTAATCTGAAAAAAATGTTAGGGGACAAGAAACTGTGAGGACTAGGTGAGAGTAAACAAAAGGCTGTCTTTAACTCAAGATACTTAAAGCTTTGTATTTAAAGTCAAGAAAATTCAGTTATAAATACTAACCTCACAGCCATGATAGTAAAGCATATTTGAAGAGTTAATTTGGATTTTGTACACTTTTTAAAAGTTTAAATACTTTTGTCCATTTAAAAATTTTATCCTATCAACTAATAACTAAAGTTTCTAAATAACATTTGGAAATGTAGCTTTTCTTCATTTCCTCCTTTGAAATTATCAGGAATTTTATTTGTGATGTTCAGTCAGAATCTCAAAATTATAAATTTTAAGGCTCCTAAATCCTTCTGAATAATTTAGGAATATATGAACTTGTCATGTAAAAATGTGTATTTCTCAGTAAATTTGGTTTTGTTTAATTACTGGTGGTTTGAAATTGTGTTTTCTTAATATTTGTAGTGATGGTATTTTTGTTGTTTTCAATTTTACAGATGAATGGTCCTATATCTCAAACCACTTCTCAAACAAGTTCCATCCCAGCTTTGAGTCAGGTAATTCATTTCTGAAATTAATCACAGATTATTTAATCACAGCTGGGGCTCACAGATCTCTTTTTACAACAAGTGCTTATTGTGAAAAAGTTAGAAAATGTAAATGTTTGTCAACAATGTGGCAGGAGGACTCATTCATCATGGTGCCCCTGGGTATAATAAATGTCAGTACTGCATATCCTTTTTTGTCCTGTGTGTGTTCAGTAACAGCACTGTGCCAAATATATTGACAGTGTTTTTATCACAGTGTTTTTAATGGTTCATTATTAAGCTGTTGTATATGTGATTAGTTTCACATTTTAATAAGCCTGTGTTCTTCAGAGTACACAAGAAAAATGGTAAGTAATAGAAAAAAAAGAAATGAAAATCCATTGATTTTATTTTTTTAAATCCTGATTTTAATCATTTATACATACACTTATATGAAGTGGATCTGGAATATTCCAAATTCAGTTTATCTTTTAAGTATCTTTAAGTCTTAAATAATTTATAGTAAGCATCATCTGATTCTCCAAATTCATGTAGAAATTAATGGAGAGTGTGGATTGAAGTTACTGCTTTAAAGTAGATTTGGATGAAGTTCTCATATTTGGTTGGTATATGTTTTTTAGGTACTTCTACTAAAAATTTTAAGTCTCTTCCATTCCCATTTTGCATTAACTTTGGTTAAAGTTCTATATTTTGGGCATTTATTATTAATTAAAATGACCCCCACATTAATAAATGGTGCTGATGTATTACTAGTTCACAAGACTTCGTTTAAACTGTTTCTGATGCAGTTGGGTGCTATAAATACCCAATTTCTGTAATATGTCATTGACAGTTACAGTCTTTCACTTACAAAAAACACTTCATGAAATTGTATGTCATCCTTGTTCAGGGGCTGTGGTAATCTTTTTACTATCATGATATATATATATATATTTTTTTTTTTTTTAATGGAAGACACCACACTATTATATTCCATCATTTTATCATTTACATTGGTTTTAAAGAATATAATTTGATGATATTACTAGGTCTACTAAGTTGTGTTGCCATCACTATAATGTAGTCTTAGACCTTTTTGGTGGGGGCCGGTGAGACAGTGTCTTGCTGTGTAGTCAGGACTGACCTTGAACTCAAATTCATCCTGCCTTAGCCTCCTCAGTATCTGGGGTGACAGGCAAGTGGCCCTACACCTAGCTTTTTTTTTTTTTTCTTGGTACTGGGGCTTGAACTCAGGGCCTTCACATTGAGCCACTCCACCAGCCCTATTTTTGTGAAGGTTTTTCAAGATAGGGTCTCTCGGACTATTTGTCTGGGCTGCCTTTGAACCACGATCCTTCTGATTTCTGCCTTCCTGAGTAGCTAGGATTACAGGCATGAGCCACCCGTGCAAAAACTCTACACCCAGCTTTTAAAGAGCACTTTCAGGCCCATTTCCAGTTTATTCCTGTTCTACCCCTATCTGTGGACAATCACAAATGTATGTTCTGTCTCTGTGAATTTGCCCTTTCTGTGTCCTGTTTATTTTTTGTAGCTAGCTCAGTGCTTTTCATCTAGTAAACAGGTAGTACTTTCTGAATTAAATTTGAAGATTCATGTTCAACAAAGCTGAGTACCAGCTATAAAGATAAAGATGGGTAAGACACCTTCTATGGAGAGGTTGTTCACAGATTAACATGGAATTCACAAATACTTGTTACTAGCCCCAATACAACATGAAAAGTTGTGTTACTAAATTTTATGTGAACTTTAGATACAGACTATAGACATGACTGTTTTGAGTGGAAAATCATTTTGAACACTCTAACCTTGATGTAATAAAGAGCTACAATTTTTGAAACATACTGAACCAATAGGATTAAAATACTAGATTTTCATTAAATTCTCTGCATTTGCAGCAGGGAAAATGATGAAACTCTGGAGTCCACCAGTATTTCAGGAACTGTAAGGAATGAAGGAAGGGAAGTGGTCATAGAGATGAGAAGAAAACCACATGGCAGTGGTGGGTTGAAATGGAGGGAGAGAGTGGCCAATTGGAGTGAAGTGAAATAAGAACCAAATGATTTGACAGATTTAAAACAAAGTGGGTCATCAGTTGTGTCCTTAGCAAGAACAGTTCCAAGGGGTGAAACAAAAGTCATGTTACAGTGGACAGATATACAAAAGTGACGGATTCAATATAGTTAATAACATTCTGCTTAAGATCTTGCTTAGATGTTGAGAAGAATTGTAGTGAGAGCAAAAAAAGGGATGGAGAAGGCTTTGACAGTATTGGACCTGAAGAGAGAGCCTCTCTGACAGTGAACCACTATGATGGAATCTCATTCTTGAGGAAGAAATGCAGTCTGATAACTGGCATTTGGCAAGTATCATTTGATTAAAGGTTCTTTACCTGTTAGGGCCCAGATTCCGTCTGCAGCAAGGATCACTCTTAGCAATTCTGTGCCCCTGCTGAAGCCCATTTGCCCATTTAGATTCTAAGTCTTGCTGTACTCTTCACAGCCCATGTTGCCTGATTGTCTTGGAATAAATGCTTTGGCCTCAGCCATTTTCTGCACTAATGATTCTGTTGTATTTTGTCGTAAGTGAACGGAGGAGAGAGGGGTACGAGTGCATGATGATATTTAAGGTGCCAGTAATCTTAAGCATAGGCACTTATGTTAAATTATTTCCTGGGAAGAATGATATGAAGTCATGCCAAGTCTTATCTAATCAGAATGTGAAACTTCAAAGCTAAATTTGAAAATCTTAACTCCTGTGTATACCAAACTCTCTGTAGACAATTTAGTAAGCTTGATCTATATTAAAATAACATTTCAAAACTTCGTTACAGATAAGATAGTAACTTTATTCTTAACCATTCATTATATTTTTAAAAAATTGCCTGGGGATATAGCTCAGTCAGTGGTAGTGTGAGGCACTTGGGTTTGATCCCTAGCATCATAAAATATCTTGAATGAGAGTAGGGTAGTGATCAGAAAGCTTGAATTTCTAGGAAGTTACCCAATGACTGTATTCTACTTGCAAATGACATCTACCTGTTTTTAGTACAGTATTTATCTTGCAGGTTAGACTATTCAGCAGTGCATAAATGTTTTTGAAAGATTTCGTACTGTGAAAGTAGATGTAGATTTTTTTTCTTACTCTTTCATTTTTCTTAATTACAATTTTCAGACATCTGGCGAGTGGAGAGAATAATATGAATGCCTATGTGCCCATCATGAATTTAAGTAGTCAGTCACCCTTGCATTGGGTACTCTGTTTCTCCTAAACACAAAATTGTTTAGAATTTTGTATATGTATATATTTTCTTTATTTTCTGGAGTATTTTCAAGCAAATCTTAGATAATTTGTTATTTCATCATAAATACTTGAGAATGTCATGCTTGGTGGAACTAACAGCAATGCTTAACCCACAGGCATTATTTTTTGAAGCTAGAAAATGAGATACAACCGCAAATTTCTAGTGCTGTTTTCCTTATGGGGAATTTACAAACTAACTTCTTTGGTTACCACTATATTATGAAATGTAAAATACTGAAAACCCTATAGAAATATTAGAAGTTTAAAATTTCCTCTTCTGAGATAATAATTTTAGTTGTTAAAAATAAGAAGATATGTAGCTCTTTTTTTGCTGCTATTCTGAATGTTTGAATTTCATGTACTATTTGGATTTCAGCACATGGAATAGATGGTTGTCAGGCAGGGCTCTGTTGTTATTAGGATTTGGATTTGAGTGGCAGGAACATGTGACTTCTGTGCAAGAGTTATTTTTGGTATCTGGGTGTTGGCTTCTCCTCAGAAACCCTAGCAAGTTAGTGTGAGATGTATTTGTAGAGGCTCAGAAAAGGACAAGCATCGTAATGTGAGTTTTTGAGTTTTTGAACATGGGTTGTTGCTTCAGCAAAGAATTAAATAGTGACAATGATAATGAGAATATTGGGCTCTTACAAAAATCTGTGGAGAAGGAAGAACCGGAACACAAGATAAGTAAAACTTTATCTTCATTGTTTGATACCTTTGAAGGTGAGGAGCTTCACAATGTTGAAAATGGAGTCAGCAGAGCAGCTGCTGGCATTAATATGTGGAATAGAATTTTTACAAGGACCCGGCACAATCAGGATCATAGACCAAAGCAGTCACCAAATTCTACTTCCTCTTCAATGTATAAGTTCTTAAGCAGGTATGAAAGTTTAGATGAGAGTGACAGGAATTCAGATATTGCTGTTGAACAAAATTCTGAGAGTGTCTGTGACCCACTGTGCATGGATAGTGATAGACAGGGTTGTTCTGAAGATGACCATCCTCTCTTATGTGTGCCGGTATTTTCTGACCAAGGCCTGCAAGAGGAAATGTTAAGTGATCATCTTTGCTGTTATTTGTCCACTTGTAAAAATTCTTTAATAGAGAAAGAAAGAGTGGTAAATGTTCAAATCAGTAGTTTTAATGAGAGTAACTCTTCAGATGTGTTTGATAGGGAGTTACAATATGAAAGTCCTCTTTGGGTTGGTGAAAAACAATGTAAGAACTCAAAAGAGAATGAGTTTTATAGTATATGTGTTATAGATCTTGAATGCCTGAATATAGAAGAAGGATTCTACACTCCCATTTATGGAGCAGCTGCAGGAGAAGAAAGTCATTCAGCTGTTGCTTCTGAAGTATACAGAGTGGATTGGCTTCTAGATAACAGGAAAGAATGCTCAGTCTTGGATGCCATACAAGAAGCAGGAGAGTTAAAGATGCAGCAGGAAGAGCTGTCACTCCAGGATGTGTTGGGCCCAAATGAAACAAAAGAAGTATTTAGTGAGAAACCTGAACCTAGTTCTGAGCTTTTGATCCACAGTGATCCACCATGTGAAGCAAACATTGATAACCTGCAAGCTGAGTCTTTAAGGACAAAAGCTTACACCAAATTCCCCAAAGATTACACAGAAAGTAGTGCATTGCATAATATTGACCTACTCCCTAAGTTAAATATTAACATAGGCAGTGACTCACTGCAATGCATGTGT